GCAGACTGCCAAATGGCAGACTGCCCGTGTGTGTGTGTTTTGTGTAGATAAGAACAGAGGTATTTCTGGTGCTTGAAGGTGCTTCCTGGTGATAGAACTAAGAAGCTAGTGGGGAAACTGTAAGAGTTTTATACTCAGTAGAGTTCCTTATGGAGTCTGCTGCTGTGAACAGAGGGTCAGTCTTTATGGCTTTAGAAAAGTCAGACCATATTCTGTATTTTTACTGTAGAACAGATTGCATTTAAAAACACAAGAACCAGTACAGTTGGAAACCCTGCATGTAACATTATTTTATTCTTCCTATTCAAGAAGAATTCAAGCATCTAACTTGTTGCTTTTAAGTCTGTTTTATCTCATGACAAATATAAGTTTATTTGCTTTGAGCAACCTGATCTAGTGAAATATGTCTCTGCCCACAGCAGGGGGGTTGGACTAGATGATCTTTAAAGGTCCCTTCTGACCCACACCATTCTATGATCCTGTAATTCTAAATCCAATATCCTTCATTAGCATTGAAAAAATGAAATAGAGCAGAAGAGCCCAGAATACTGAGTTTTCTCAAATATGCACATAGAATTTCATGTGAAAAGTGTCCCTGCAGGCTTTTCAGATGTATTTATGTGATTGGAAATGTGCCTCCACTCAGTGGTTTCACCTTTCTCTGTTTATGCTTGGTTATTCACAGGCTGATGCCGGCACTGTTGAAGACTTTAAAAAATAAGAAGGAGCTGGTCTCCAATGAGATTTACTTGCTGAGTGCTGTCACTGCTCTGCTGAAGGTTGCAGAAACATTACCTCATTTCCTTAGTCCATATCTTTTGGATTGCTTGCTGCAGGTGAGCCATCTGACTCCTACAGATACATGAAGGGGGACAGGATCTGCCCCGTTCCTAGAAGAAGCTACAGATTACTTTTTTCTCTCTGAAACTGAAGTAGGAGTGTGTGCCAACTATGTGGAAGGTCGTAACACATTACTCTTCTACTCACCTTCTTATGCAGATAACTAAGATACAGAATATAAAAGCATCTCTTACTCCTCCCTCTGATAGGTGGTAGTTTGCCTCTTTGGAAAGGGAGATGAATCCTGAAGGATCATTCTGTAATATCCATTATCTCATCACATGTGTGTCTCTAACAAACAGCTCTAGCAGGGTAATTCTGACCCCCTGCCTCTGACGTGCACGTTTTTTCAGTGTTTGTCTTCTGAAGAAAGCAAAGCTCTGTGCAAATGGCAAAATTCCAGTCTGACACTTGCAACACAGGCAACTACCGTAAAATAAGTTCTTGAGTTGTTTTAAGCATCCCTGACTTTTGTTGGATTTCCTGATAGGTCGTCCGCTTGGAAAGGATTGTGGTCGAGTTTGGTCCTTCTTCCCAAATAAGCTTACGTGTAACAGCATTGAAAACTATCCTCGCTACAAGGCTTGCTCCCCGAATACTCTTGCCGGCAGTTACGAAGTGTTACAGTGAAGTGGCAAATACCCGGAAGGTAAGGATTTTTTTTTCACTTTTTTTTGCATTGTCATTAAAAAGAAAGAAAGAAGCAGTGCAAAATTCAGTACAAATGTCACAGCTGTGTCCCCTCCCAACCTCTTGCCCACCACCGCTTACTCACTGAGGCAGTAGAGTGAGAAACAAAGAAAGTCTTAACACTGCGAGCACCGTTCGGCAATAGCTAAAACACCGGTGCATCATCAGCATTGTTTTGGTCACAAATCTAAAACACAGCACCATGTGAGCTGCTATGAAGAAAATTAACTCCATCCCAGCCAAACCCAGCACAGTCTTTACATATCTCTTTTTTTTCTTTTGTACTTGCAGTGGTGATTCAGGAAAGTTAGACCTGGGTGAAATGCACCGGTTTAATGTCCTTAGCCTGTTAGACAATGAATGCTTGAGAGATCATCCCATTCATAAAGGCCTTGATGTATCTGCTAGAAACTTGAGTTGAGTCATAATTTTCATCTAGGCTTTGCTGTCTCATAGGTGCAGTCCTTTCAGACTTGACTGGTGTCTCCAGGATTGGAGAGGGGAGACCAAACTTTGCAGGAATCCTACTAACTTAAGTAACTTAATCCTACTAAGCCCCCCAAAAATACAGGGAAAAGTTTATTTATTTTATCGCCAGTATTTTAATCAGTAAACGTGTGAAGTGCAAAAATCCAGTGTCCTTGTTAGTTTTCTCAGTTACTGTCAGTATCACAGTTGCCTGTGCATTGCTTTGCTTTTGTTTTGGCAGAGCTGCCTGGGTCCCCTTATGAACATTTTGAAGGAGCACATTGTTGGTATGGAGAAGGAGCACCTGATCTCCCATCAGTCTGAGCTGACGGCATTTTTCATGAAAGCCCTGGACTTCCGAACAGAGCATGCCCAGGTACCTTGTTTAATGGGATGAACAGGGGCAGGTCAACCTCTACATGTTAATTCTATCAGTTGTTTTAAAAAATATTAGTAGTTTTCATTGCATAGGTGCTCTGAAATTCTGGGTATCAAATATTCCGTCCTGGAATTGTTCTTCGGGTAGAAAACATTATAGTTAGGCATTTAGTCTGAAACAGACAAAACTAAAAGGTGCTTTGAAAGCTCAGATTCTTACATTTCAAACTTGGAATTATGTTTTCTAATTTTTCTAGGATGATTTAGAGGAAGTTGGTAAAACAGAGGCTTACATTATTGATTGTCTAATAAGTATGGTTATGAAACTTTCTGAGGCTTCTTTCAGACCCCTCTTCTTCAAGGTAAGAAGTTTAAATATAATTCATCTGCATCAGCATATTTTATTTTATTTACTGGAAAATATCAGTATTTTCCAGTGCACAGACACAGGAAAGGGCTAATCTGCCTTTCACTTTCAGCTCTTTGATTGGTCCAAAACAGAGTCTACCCTAAAAGACAGACTGCTGACATTCCACCGAATAGCAGACTGCATTGCAGACAAGCTCAAGGGTCTCTTCACCCTGTTTGCTGGTCATTTAGTGAAGCCATTTGCTGAGACGCTCAACCAGGTCAACATTTCCAAAACTGGTAAGTTTTCAGTTACTAGCTAGAGAGAAGCATTTGCAGGCTAACTCTAATTGCTGAAAGATGTTAATTATAACTGCTGAAAGTGTAGTCTTACAGGATTTACTTCCCAGCACATACTCCTCATTTCCCTCTTTCTTCTTTCTCTCATAAATAAGGCATCTTTCTTACTCTGATGGAACTAAAGGACATTTTTCATCCATGGGCTCTGGGCTGCCAGTAGAAAGTTGAGAGCACATGAAAACTCTCAATGTCAGTCCCAGTGAGTTCCATGAGAATGAAATTGCATGGAAAGAGGGTGACCTGTTTCTGTTTAGGTTTTGGTTTTTGTTGTTGGGTTTTTTTCATTCATTGTCTTCTCTTATATGCTACCTGGTGTATTCAGACGACTCTGCTTTCTTGGCAAAAATACGTAGTACTTTTTTGTTGGGAAACTATTTGCCCATCCCATTTGTAGCGATCTGAAGAAATTCTCCATCTCCGCAGGTATGCCCAAGCACTTTTCCTACAGCCTGTGGCTATTCTCTTTTATCCCCAGCTGACTGCAAACAGCAGTGGCAGACCTTCTAGGGCATTAGCTAAAGGCCAGATAACATGCTGCATCCACTTTATTGTTCTGAGGGAAGAGCATGTAGTTGCTATGTAGTACATCCTTTAGCTGTACTCACAAACTAATAATGTTTCTGTCTTGTGAGGAAGTTTTGTATTTTGATTTCTTTGATGATTTTTTTTTTCTCCTTGATTGACATGTAGATGAAGCCTTCTTTGACTCTGAGAATAGCACAGAAAAGAGCTGTCTACTGTTGCAGTTCACCATGGACTGTCTGCACAAGCTTTTCCTGTTTGACACCCAGAAGTTCCTGAGTAAGGAAAGAGCAGAAACGTTGATGATGCCTCTGGTTGATCAGGTATTGGCAAATGCAAAAAAAAAAAACAATTCATAGCTGATTTTTTTTTTTTCCTCTATCTGATTGTTGGTTTGTTGGTTTTTTTTTAAACTATCAGGCCTCAATCCTCTAACAAAAAGGGAGGAACTAATTCATTGTCTTTGGGCTACAGAGAGTATTAACTGCTTTGCCTAAGGCTCTGAATTACTATTTTTTTTTTATCCTTTTTCTAAACTTCTACATTCTGTAAGGTTTATGCATATTGTTGAGCTCTTGCAGACCAGTGCACTCCTACTGATCGTCTCTGACCTAACTCTTGAGTACCTGAAAGTCTACTTTAGCACTTTAAAGAAGTGCTTTTGGCTGGGTTTATCTGAGCCTGGATCTGATTGTCTGATAAGCTTTTTACTTCCACAGCTAGAAAATACACTTGGAGGAGATGAGAAGTTCCAGGAAAGAGCG